TACTTACTCCTATCATACATACAGCAGGCTGGTGTAGTTTTTATACAGAAGAGCTGATGTTAGCTACCACCAAGATTCACAGACTTGTCAGTGTTTTGGAGGACGCAGACTTTCCTCCTCTAACTACCAATATCTCCAGATGGAGTTCTGCCAGATTCCTCTTCCTGAGGTACTACTCAGATTCTTCTTTCCATCCTCAACCACTAGGTGTAGAGATACTGATTTTGTGTGTACGATCAGTACCTCCATAAAGAAATCAGGTAAGTTTTTGTCTGCCTTCCAGGCCCTTGATTTTGCTATTTACAGCAAGAAGGCTCAGTCTAGCTCACCAATGCACATAGCTAACTGTTCATTCATTTTTTTGTCATGTATCTGCCTGACCCATATGACCCATATACTCAAAAAACATGTTTTAATCCATCCTTGAGATTCTGTTGAAGTGAAGGAAGAGGGTTCCTTTTCTGTTTCCAGTTTGTATTCTCTTACAGTTCCTTTTAAATTTTTGGTTTAGAGGCTTTATTGTAAAATGTTTGTCCTGTTCACTAGCACCTGGCCTTGCTGTAGTACATATAGACACCTCTTCTCACTGTAGTTTTTGAAGTCTATGTATATTTCAAGCATCTAGAAAAAAACAGTTATGTTTGCTGATTTCACCAGTATCCCACCTATTTTCTAAGGATGCAAGGAGTTGTAAATAGGTTGGCTAAGCTACTGAAACCTGGAGGAATATTGTTATTTCGAGACTATGGAAGATATGATACAGCTCAACTTCGTTTTAAAAAAGGTAATTCCTGAATACTTTTGTAGTTCACTGTTCATTTTAACTTCTTGAAAAAAGAAGTGATGTGTCCTTTTTCATTACTGCTCTAATTTCTTAGGTCACTGCTTATCAGAAAATTTTTATGTACGAGGAGATGGAACCAGAGTATATTTCTTTACCAAAGGTATGAAATGCTGTAGTTTTATAGAAAGGGTTGAGTGTCTCTGAAGATGATTTAAAGAAGGTTTTATTGGCTTTTTTTTTTTAATTCTTTGCTTTTACAAAGCTCAAATCTAACTGTTGTAAGAAAATAATTCCCTTATGTATACCCTTTTTGCATCTGGGTTTCTACAAGATTGCTTGCAGACATCACTGGAAATTTCTCTTTGTCTAAGTATCTTGTGTCTAATGGTATGCTCAGATTCTGTTATTGCACTAGATTTCTTGCTTAAAATTGAGATAAACATGCTTGGAAGGACAGTTGGTAGCAGTGCTGTGCCCTGATATTTTGTTCTGCTATGTTGGTGAATCTGAGCTGTGAGTTTCTGCAGGAGCTAAACTTAAATTCCTGATTATCGATTCTATTGCTCTTCGCCTGTCCACTCACTTGGTTCTGTTGGCAGTCTGCTTAGACTGGTATATTTTATCCCAGCTACTGGAAATTGTACAAGTCAGCATCACAATACTTTTTTTTTTTTTTTACCCTTTGCAACCTAGACTGTAAGCAATAGAGATGGATCAGGATTTATCCCAGCCTGAGTAGTTTTAGAAGGGTAAACGAAGATCTGGGACATGTATGGGAAATGGGAAATCACTTGAATTCAAAGAGCCTTCTCAGTTTTTAAATGTCTTGTTTTGTGCTTACTTACAACAAAGAAGTTTAAAGTTTTCCAGTGGTGACTGACAAGAAGGAGATAATGATGTTGGAATAAATGTGTGTATTGCCATTTGGCAGGCAAAATAGCTTTATCTCGATAGTATGTGAGCAGTGACCAAATGGCATGCATTTGTTTTCCTCAACTCTGGCATACTGAACCCTCTGAAGAAAGAGGATCTATGAATGGCATGACTAATAACCAATGTGGTTTGGGCTTCAACATAACATTTTTTTACAGTAATATAAATTGAGAGCTGTGAAAATTAATTTCTAACAAAAGACTTTTTACAAGCAGTTTCCTTGATCTTTCAAATCACAGAACAGATTTAGTTCCATCTTTGTTTGAACTGCAGGTTGTTAATTACTACGTTCTACAAATGTCCTTTTTTTTTTTTAATTACAATAATTCTTCATATGAGAAAATAGATGAGGTATGGAACATGTTCAACTTGGCTGGATTAACTGAAGTGCAGAATTTAGTTGATCGGCGATTACAAGTAAACAGGAAGAAAAAAGTGAAAATGCAGCGAGTTTGGATACAAAGCAAGTTCCAAAAACCATTGCTGATGTCTCTGAAGAATCCTGAAGAAACCACGAAAGGCACCCTTATAGATAATTGTACCATGAACTTCAGAAACTAAAGCAAATTTGAGTACGTATATTTCCTATAAATCTTGTGTTAGCCACTGAAAAGGAGAAATATATTGAACTGAAATATATTGAACTGAAAACCTTTCTGTGACATTTTTGTAAATGTATGTGTGTGAAAATGATCGGGGGGAGCTAATTTCTGACTTCTGCTTTATATGCAATAAAGGGATATGCATTAATCTATTCATAACCTTGACCAGACACTATTTTAATTCCTTGAATATGAATACTCTATGTATCTTGTTCCTATTGAAATTCACAATATGTAAAATTTTTAGACTGAAGTGTAATTTATTTCAGAGATTTAGAGAAACAGAGTATCTGTTCTCACTATCACTACAAGCTGTGCTGTGGTAATTTCTGAGTCGTGTCTCTTAACTGTCTTGTGTGTCTTGCAACTGTATTTCCTCTTTGGGGTGAAATTTCTTGGTGCATAAATAATGAAGACAAAGTCTCTTTCAGATTTGCATGTAAGTTATCATTTCATACTAACTGCATGTGATATGCGTAGGTATCAGATTAGTCAGTGATTGGGGTCCTCCACTGTGACTGACTTGTTCCTCTGAAGTCTCCTCTTTCCATCTACATGCTCATCAGAAATATGCCAAACTCAAGTTTCTGTAACAGCTTAGTGACACAGACATTAAAGTGCCCTAGGTTGTAAACTGAACATCATGTAGAAAAGAATTACCAAAATGCCAAGGCACTGCTGAAACCAAATAGTTAACACTTGCCTGGATAAATGCAGGCATTATTTTTATGACATGTCAGATACACTAGAGGGAGGAGCAGAAAGAATAGGGGTACATTTTATTAATATTGTTATGGGGTAATGTAATCACAGTAAAATGGCGATCTGCATGGCAACTGAGACATTTCTGTTGTTTAGAGAGCGCGGTTGCTTTCTTAGGGCTTGAGTCTCTTTAAAGAAAGACACAATGTTTTTGTATTGACCCTGTGGAGAGACAGTAAAAGGACAGGACTACACGAGTATGTCAAGTGCTTTTAAGAAGAAAACCAAAATGCAGACACTGTTTTCAGATGCAGACCATGATAACTGAGGCTGTTGAGCTAGTATTTAAAGGTGCCACTTCTATGATTTAAATGTGATTTTACAACCACTTAGCCACAGGGAGGAGAGGACAAGAAACAGGTGAATGAATAAAATCTCTTACTTCAACAAGGATACAGAATGCATGTTGTCTATAACATGCACGCAGTTTTGAGTGCCATTAATGTAGTAACAGTCTCAAAGTCTCTTTTCTTGCTTTTGTTTTAGTCTGAAGGGTATGCATGTCACAGCTGACAACCCATTTTTTTGCAAGTTGTTAGCTGTTAAGCTAAGTAGTCCTGATTTTTTTTTTCCAGAAAAAAAAAATTATCTAAATTTAGATGCTAAGTATCTTCATCCCCCTTTGACACGATGATGGACCTGCTTAATTTCCGTAAACCCAGATCTGTTTCAAAAATGAGGTGCAATAAGGGGCCTTTGAACGTAGGAACTGATCCTGCGTTTCTGGTGTATTCTAAACTCCCATGAGGGTAAGATACTCTTTTATGAATTAAGTGGCTTAGGAAGGTTTGGTTAGCAATGGCATTATTGTAACCTGCAATAAAACTTTTGTGGTATAAATGAAAGGTTAAAACATAGCTGTGTTTCTTCAAGCCCTGAGTCTTACGAGATGGTAGCATCTGCATGGGAAATGTAAATAAGTATCTGCTTATATTTTTAATTAGGTTTCTACTCTGTGCTATTAATCGTGACTTCTTGAGTATGCATAGCTGTTAGTGTAGTACAAAGATTTTCAGTTGTAGAATTTTCCAGGGAGGTGATGGTGGTGATAAGCTCTTGAGCATCATGCAGTCTCACTGCTGTGTGTGATGTAGATTTTTCCATGTGTAGAGGCTAATGAAACGTTTGTTTTGGCTTTCACATTGATATGTTGATTCTGGCAAGATTTTAATATGCTGTGTTGCTAGTTTAACAAAAACGTGACATCAGAAGAAACCAAACCCTGAATTTTCGTATGGCCTTGAGCAAAATTAGCTGTTTCTCTTCCACACCTTGCAGCGTAAGTATTGGCTGCCTCTTTTATAATAATGGTACCTATTTTAGAAGTAAGAAGATCGGCTACTATTTGTAAGTGTAGGATATTCACTGTAAAGTGAACTGTAAATAGTCTGAATGTTTGTAGGATCTATAGAAGGGGAAATGGGCCAAGACATAATTCCCGATAAGAACTTCTGAATCTGAGTAGGACTTTCTATATTTTGGCTTCGTGACATTTCAGTTTTCACAGAGTCACAGGATGGTTTGGGTTGGAAGAGACCTTTAAAGGTCACCTAGTCCAACCCCCTGCAATGAGCAGGGACAGCTTCAACTACATCAGGTTGCTCAGAGCCCCGTCCAACCTGACTTTGAACACTTCCAGGAATGGGGCATCCACCACCTCTCCAGGCAACCTGTGCCAGGGTTTCACCACCCTTACTGTAAAAATTTCTTCCTTATACCTAGTCTAAATCTGCCCTCTTGTAGTTGAAGACCATCACCCCTTGTCCAATCACAACAGGTCCTGCTAAAAAGTCTGTCCTCATCTCTTATAAGCCGTCTTTAACTCCTGAAAGGCCACAATAAGGTCTCCCTGGAGCCTTCTCTTCTCCACACTGAAAAACCCCAACTCTCTCAGCCTGTCCTCACAGGATAGGTGCTCCAGCCCTCCGAGCATTTTGTGACCCTCCTCTGGACCCGCTCCAGCAGGCCCAGATTTTCAAAAAGCTTAAAGACATGTTTTTAAAATACTTTCAAATTATCTGTATTATTTGGAAAAACTACTATTACCTTATTGGCAAAAAAAGGCAAGTAGAACTACTGAAATAAAAGACAGAAAAGAGATGTAGACAAATATGCAGGAAATGCAGTTTAAAATGGCTTATTGCTAATTAATTTCTGGGGGAAAGAAAAATTAGGGTATTGCAAACAAAGTGTGCCCAGTATAGAAAATGGCTGTAAGTTTCACTTTTGAAATCTGAAGTTACTTCTTTTAATCAGATATGTATCTGAAATATCTAATTATATAAATTTATGGAAGTACACATTGTATAAATACTAAATATTTAAATTGTTAATTGCAAATTTTTAAAATTTTTTTTGGTTCAGCATGAGTTCCTATGCTGGTAAAGCAGACTTGTGAATGTATACAAATAGCAATTAGAGAAAGATAATCTTGTTAGAATTGAGCTTTGACTTCATTGGGTTTGGCTTGCTTTATCAATAGCGTGTACTTTTTGCCCATCTCCACTAGTAGTGTATTGCATTTATGTACAGGGATATATGAGAATGCTACTTACTAGTTTAGACCTTGCTTAGATTTTAAGCAAGTACAAGACCGCTATAAAGGAAGTGACTAGCCTTTTTTCCTACATTAATTCTGAAGTATCTAGTCAATAACAATAAACTTATATAAAAAAATGTGGGTTTTTTTCCAGCAAAACCCAGGCAGTTGCTTGTGTCATATCTACAAATCCACTGAATCTGAAGAGGACAACCAAATGCAGGGCAGACGGGAAGACAGAAGGAAGTCTAGTGACATTAGAGGAAAGTTTCTTGTGTTGGAAACTGCTGTTTCTGTTTTGTCTTTTGCTTGTGACTCAGCTAATCTGCAGATTCTGCTGTTTAATAATGACAAAAAATTTGTAACAAACCATCCACAAGTTTGTATTAAACACCAGTGGAAATCACTTAACATAAATTTTGCTACTTCATTTTGATTTCTGGTGTGATCTTTATTCACTGCTCTGGTGTGCTTTTTGATCTGTTGCCATATGCTTCGTTTCCCCTTTCTCCTGTGCATGGTAGACAATTAAGCAGTTTCCACAGGAGCTATATATACAAACATTCGCAGTAAAATTTGCTGGCTGGGTTATTTCTAGGATCAAAGTGAGAGAGTTTTATTTCCTTCTGTACAGAACAGATTGCTTTTTTTTTGTGTGTGAATGCAATGAATTGTATAGATGCTAAATTAATATAGTGGTATTGGCTGTATTTTTAAATTATTTTAAGCCAAATATACCTTAGGGTATGCTATTTGTAATGGCAGTGATAATAGTAGACAGTCCATACATAAACCATTTGTTCTTCGTAGAGCATCTTCATAATTGATGGCTGAATAACCTTGGCAGTAAACCATATATATATTATAAAAATATTAAACATTGCTATTGTTAATAATACAGGTCACTTTGCCTTTCAGTATCTGTAAACTTTTCTCCATGTTTGGAACAAAGACTGGACATGAGGGGGTTTTTATATCAGTTAACGTGCCAGTTGTCCTCTTCTTGAAAAATCAGCCAGAAATTGGACAAGTTTAAGTCAGCTAAATGCAATTGCAGTTAGTATATAGTCAGTCAGACCTGCATGGGTTGCCATGGGCATCTTAGCAGGCTCTTTGTCATACCTGCTGGTATGATATATAGGTCATGCCTGGACTGGGCTTTGAGTTGAGAAGGGAACTTGGTGAGGTGTGGAACTTGGTCCAGTGACCATCCTCTACCCTTTGCTAGTACCAAGCAACTAAAAGAACCTGCCTGGTTTGAATGCAGGAGCCATACAGGCAGGAGAGGAGGAAGATACAGATGCAGCTCAAAGACAGACAAGAGAAAGAGGGTTTTTTCTGGGAACTGGGATAAGAAAGAAGCTTTGGACTGACAAGGCAAGAAAAATGTGATGCAGAACTGATCAGGGAACTGAGGAACAGAACACTACGGGCACCATATGGGAGAAGATGTCTAGCAGGAGACAATGTGGCAGGGTGAGGACATTGGGAGTAGAAATGGGTGAAATGAAATGGAGGCGGCAATATGAAAAAAGGGGCTGATCTGTCACAGAAAAAAGAAGCTTTGGACTGACAAGGCAAGAAAAATGTGATGCAGAACTGATCAGGGAACTGAGGAACAGAACACTACGGG